CCTTGATCCCAGCTTTTGAGATGTAAAGGCAGGCAGATCTCTTTGAATTTGAGGTCAGTCTGGTCTACAGAACAAGTTCCAGGACAGCCAGGGCTACACAAAGAAACCTTGTCTCAAAAAACAAAACAAAAAGAATAGAAAGGAAAAGAAGGAACTTAATTAACGATGGCTATTACAATGATGGTTTCTTCCACACAGCAGGCAAACCAGATGCACCCTCCACCCTCCCCTATCCTCATCCTCTCCATTCCAGACCACTTTCACTTATCATTTGGAGCATAGAAGTTCTTTCTTTCACTCTTGTAAAACCGTGTGTGTGTGTGTGTGTGTGTGTGTGTGTGTGTGTGTGTGTGTTTTATCTGAACATATGTCTGTGTACTGCATGTGTGCCTGGTGCATGCAGAGGCCAGAAGAGGGTCTTAGATCCCATGTTTTGGAGCTATAGATGCTTGTGAGTCATCATGTGGGTGCTGGGAATCAAACCGGGGTCCTCTGGAAGAACATCCAGTGTGCTTAACCACGGAGGCATCTTTCTATTGTAGCAGTTCTTTCTCAATTCACTTTGTTCCCACTCTTCCCTTATAACCAGCTACTCCTTACACAGTCCCAAGAAGGGTCTTTGAAAATATAAACAGCATGTGTTGGGTCTCTCCTTACAACGTTTCCTAAACTTTTGCTGTGGGTCTTAATTGACTTGGTAAAGATTTATTCATATGTAATTGTTTTGCCTGTGTCTATGTGTGTGCACTGTGTGCATGCCTGGTGTTCTCGGAGGTCAGAAGAGGGTTTCAGATCCTCTGGAATGAGTCATGGATGGCTGTGGGTGCTGGAACCAAACCCTTGTGAGTCCTCTGCAAGAACAACAAATTTTCTTTTTTTGTTTTTGCAAAAGACAGGGTCTCTCTTCATAACATTGGCTCTCCATCAACTATATAGACCAGGCTGAACTCAAACTCAGAGATCTGCCTGCCTCAACCTCCCCAGCAGTATACCACCACACCCAGAACAAATACTTTTAAGCAAATTCTTCCCATGACCTTTTTTTCACAATTTCTCTGACTTTATTTCTCATTGTTTTCCCACACTGACCTTGTTTATTTGTTTGTATTTTTTTCTCACATGGCACAGTTCTCTCCTGATATCTAACTGATCTAACGCATCCCCCTGCATCTGTCTCTCATACACAAATACAGGCTCATGTTATTTTATAGTCACATCGTTCTATCCATACATGCTTATGAAAGTAATATACGACTATGGATGTATTATGTGCACAGGTTTTCACCACTGAATGGCTGAAAAGCACAGATTAGTATTTGATACCAAAGTATTCTTCTGTAGAAGAAAACAGCAACCTCTTGTGAGAGCTTTGATTTCCCTAGGCTGTAAGCACCTGAGCACGTGTTACTTTGTACCCATGTCCTTGTTTAATGTATATACTGTGTATGTAATTTTATAGCAGCTTAGGGAAATCTTAAGCTTTGATTGTGGATTTTGGAAGTTGGGGACAGAATAATTGAAATGCCCTATGACTCAGCTCTACTGCTCCCAAACATTCATCTAACTGTACCCTACTACAGATATAGTCGCTCATACATGGTCATTGTAGCCCTATGCACAATGGCAAGGAAATGGAATGAACCCAGATGCCCATCAACAGATGAATAGATAATAAAACATGGTATGTGTGCACAATGGAACTCTATTCAGCTGTAAAATATGAAATTACAAAAATCTTCAGGAAAATAGATGAAGTATAAAATATATTAAGTAAGGTAGCCCAGGCTCAGAAAAACACACAATTTTTCTTTCATATGTGGATTCTAGCTTCTAAACTTATTTATCTTAAAGTTTACGTGAGAGTGGGTGTAAACAGAGGCCAGAGAACTCTAAAGGGAACCCTTGGAGATGGCTGGGTAACAGAACATGTGTATTTAAAGGTGGAGTGGGGAGCCAGGAGATGGAGAAGTAAAACTATGTATGAAAATAGCTAAAACAAAAACTCAGCTAAGTCTATGTATGAAAACACTATAAGGAAGTCTGCTACTTTGGAAGTTAATAAACTAATAGGCAAATAAAATAATTAAAACAAAACACAAAAATCCCTCTAGGAAACAACTAGCAGACCCCTTCAACCCCACATAATCCCTCACCCTTGTCAAGAGAACACTAACATTCTCGGTGTTTTGGCCTTTGTCTACTGAGAGTAAATACATTTCTTAAGGTAAAAAAGAAGAAATAATTTTCTTCTGTGTTCTTCGCTCCTACCCAGACATACGTGTTGATTTAATAACAAACTAGTGATACAGTCTGCATTAAAGCAGATGACTAGTCCTGGATCCTCCCAGTGTGACACCACAATGGCCTCACATAGAAAAGCTCTCTGCTTCCTCAGAGCAGCACTGTGGCCATTTCAAACACTTTAGCTGTGTTTTAAAAATTCCCCTATGAAGCCTTCTTGGCAGAGGCAAAGCTGAAGACTCCAGGAGCCATTTGCTGCGGTGGAAATGCAGGTGAGTCCATTGTACCTAAGAGAGGCTCTGCTTGCAAAGAGAAAAGCGGGTGCCCTTCAGCTCTTCAGCAGCCAGAGGGCAGGACTGATTCTGCAGAGCAAAGCTCCAATGTCTACTAACGTCAGCCTCTGCGGTTAGCTGATGGCTTTTATGCAAGCATTCAAAAGAAAGTGGCAATCCAGATACATTATTTAAGCAAGGCAAATAGCCGAGGAGGTGATTTTGGTTTGCCATTCATACTTCACTTCCAGAAAATCTGTCTGAGATGTAATAGGAGTAGCTGACATAATTTCACATTTACTATGCACAGGTGCTGCCCCTCAGTGTCGGATAGAAGCGTTAGGGTTAGGGTTTTAAATACACAAAGAACAGATTAAAATTGGAAATCTCAGAGCTTCATACTGGTTTTAAGTTTTGACAGTTGTTTTAGGTAGCGCTCATTGGTCTTGAACTTCCCGGTCTTTCTGTGTCACTCTTCTGAGTGCCAGGAGGATTACAGGCAAGTGTCGTTAGGCCCTGCTTTCAGAGCTCAGTATTTCCTGTGTTGTGGAATTACTCAGAAAACCGGCAAACCTAATGTGTCTGTATTTTTTAAAGTGGAAGTATGCATTGCAAACATACACTTATAAGTGCTTCGCTTCACAACTCTGTCATTGCCTGTGGACCAGAGAGGAACAGGAGGCAACCAACACCAACTTCACCTGGGAGCCAGCCCTGCAGGCACCGTGCCCTACATAGTCAACTTCAAGACGCACTGGCCCAAGAGAATTGGTTTGCTTTTAATCTGCAGACATATGAAGCCCAGTGGTTGACTGTGATCCCCCACCACCCTCATATTTAGGCTTTACTGCTAGAAAGTTCAAAGTCAAATCTATAGCTCACTGTTTGAGAAGTTGACAAAAACCTTTAAAAATTTTTGTGTATCAACTTTGGCCAGGCCAAGAGTGATTTCTCTTCCTCCATTTTTCCTATCAATCTGTAGTGGTTTCAAGTGAGAATGGCCCTGAGGCTCATATATTTGAATGTTTGGTTCCCAGTTGGTGGACTGTTTAGGAAGTATTAGGAGGTGTGGCCTTG